TTACATTCTTAAATACCAAACTCAAGTGCAAGCAATTTCACAAAACAAATATTACTAGGCAGTATGCTACATATTAACTTCAATACAGCATCATTAAGTAACATCAGCACTCCACTTTCACTAACTGACAGGTCATCCAGACAAGATTTAAAAAGAGAAACATAATAAATGACATCAGAAATTACCTAATGAATATCTCTAGAATATTTTACCCAAACACTACAGAGGACACATTCTTCTAAGTAGTTCAAGGAAATTTCTTTAAAATAGATTATATATTGGGATGCAAAATAAACCTCAACAAGTGGAGAAAAATTGCAGTAATTCTGGCCACAATAGAATAAATCTCCAAGTCAACAGAAAAATAATCTTTTAAAAGACACAAGCTCATGGAGATTAAACAATACCCTATTGAAAGATGAAGGAGTCATTAGAGAAATAAAGGCACAGAGAGACTCATCTGGAATGAGATGGAAGATTTCTCCCTGCTAGTTAAGTTTCATACATCGAGAAGGTGGCATGCAGGCTACTGTGGGTGGGTGTGGGAAAGGCACCAGTAGATGTAAACTTTTCAAACTAATTGTAAATTTTACTCACTACAGTACCTGTCTACCGGGCAAGATATAACTAATTATGCAAAAGATCCATGACTATTATGGGATAACCAACTGCTCTCTGACTGGAGTCCACTCTGTGGACTCTGTTTTTGGCAATGCAAGTCCTAGTAAAAAGTGAAAATTCCACACCTTGAGAATAATCTTCTAGTGTTGCTTAGTTAAATAGACAGGGTGTCAAACTAAACTGCCTCCTAACTATTTGTATTTATAGATATAGATTAATGTTTCGGCTTGAATCAGAGAAGCCTTTCTGTGGTGAAAGGCAGTGAGGGCAAAGTCACACATGACTGATCAAGAAGCTGAGAATGAGTGAAGTTGAATGCTTAGCCACAAACAAATATAAGAGCTGCAAGATCGTTCTGAAGAAAGGGTAGAAAGTGCCACATTAGAGCCATCCCAACAATGAACTCAGTGCAACTGTTCTTGCTGGTATTGCATCTTCACAGAAGTGGACCTGTCAGCAGTCAATCATGACTGAAGGAGGGGCATAGGGTCCTGTTTATTCCACTGAACTAGTTAGTGTTCATTGATTGTGGGAGAAACTGCCATCAGTTGCATAACTTCTGTGACCCAACCAGGCTCTAATATACAGTTCCAAACAGTCACACAGATGACTCTGGTTATCAACACACCAGGTCTCAAAGCAAGTCATAAAGACAATATGGTAAATGGATTGGTAGAGGGAGTATGGGATTGATGGAGGAGGCAAGTGAGGGTAAGCCTGGAAAGTAATCAATACAGTGTACCAAAGAACAGAATGGTCAAAACACACATGTCATAAATTTAAAAAAAAACGTAATAAGAAAGGATTCAAGGATTCGAAATCAAATGTTATGGATTTAAGACAGTTCACTTTTTACTGTGCAATCATGAAGAGTTGAGTCCAGTTTCTATCATTTCACATAAAATTCTCTGCATACTGGAAGGCAATCATAATGCCTTTGCTAAGGAAGTAAAGAGAGTTTGTGACCTGGGGCTCACTAGACAGCAAGCTTAGTCTAATTTGTGAGTTCCAGGCTAATGAGAGACCCTGTATAAAAACCAAGGTGGACAGCTCATGAGAAACATTGCAAGATTGGCCTTTTATATTCCTATATGCATACCAAACAACAACAACAACAACAACAACAACAAAACCTTACAAAACAAAAACAAAAAGCCATCTACAGATTCAATGAAATCCCCATCAAAATCCCAGCAAAATTTTCTTTGCAGACCTCAAAAGAACAATACTCAACTTCATATAGAAAAGCAAAAAACCCAGGATAGCCAAAACTATCCTGTACAATAAAAGAACTTCTGGAAGTATCACAGTCCCTGACTTCAAACTCTCATTACAGATTTACAGTATTGAAAACAGCCACAGGGGAAATGGAAATGCATTGAAGACCTGAATATCAACCCACACACCTATGAACACCTGAGTTTTGACAAAGAAGCAAAAATATAAAATGAAAAAAGGAAAGTATATTCAACAAATGGAGCTGACATAACTGGATATCAACATGTAGAATAATAAAAATAAATCCATATCTATCGCCATGCACAAAATTCAAATCCAAATGGATCAAAGACCTCAACATAAAGCCAACCACACTGAACTTCATAGAAGATAAAACAGAAAGTATACTTGAACGCATTGGCTCAGGAGACCACTTGCTAAATATATCCCCAGTAGCACAGACACTAAAAGAAACAATTAATAAATAGAACACTCTGAAACTGAGAAGCTTCTGTAAAGCAAAGGACACAATCAACAAGACAAAACAGCAGCCTACAGAATGGGAAAATATCTTCACAAACCCCACATCAGATGGAGGACTGACCTCCAAAATATACAAAAAACTCAAAAATTTAAATTTTTATGGAAAGGAAAAATATACAACTTGAAAAGATAAATATTATAAACAATAGTTCCAGACCCTCTCATTTTAACAGAGAAATAATGACATAGAACTACTGAAATAGAAATGTTTAAAAACTGGAGAGATATCTCAGAGGTTAAGAATATGAGTTGATCTTCCAGAGAACCCAAGTTCAGCACCAGACAACCACACTGCATCTCACAACAGTGTATAATGTCAGTTCCATGGAATCTGATGCTCTCTTCTGGCCTCCATAGGCATCAAACAGTGAAGTGGTGTATAGATATGCATATAGGAAAAAATCAATGTACATAAAGTAATAAAGTAAATAAAATAGTAATTCTGTTAAGTTATGAAGACATTAAAAGTTTGTTGTTTTGGTAGTAAAAATTACAAATATAAAAATGTGTATTCATACTAACAAAATTTCAAGTGAGTCAAAATTTTAGAGAGCTGTTGATATGTCACCTGGTTTTTCAGATTGTCTAGCGAATATTCTTCCTTTTTATTTTAGTTTTATTTTTCATCTTCAGTCCTCATGATCAAGCTCAGATCCTTGCATATGCTACGGGAGTTCTCCATCACTGCAGTATACCCTACCTTTAGCATTGTGTGATTGCATCCTCCTATCTCCCTATCTATCATGATAACAGCTTTGGTGATGGACATGGCTCGTCTTGAGTTTTCTGTGATACACTGGCCTCAGACTTCAGATTCTCTTGTTTTCCAATATGAAGATTATAGGTACAAGTCACTGCACCAGTTCAAATTTCTCTTTCATAGAGAAGTACTGGTGACTTACGGGAAGCTTTTAGCGTTTTGTTTCAAGGTTCTCTGGCTCACAAAGAACACTCTGTTAAAATCTATTGGCATTGTACTTCTTCTTGATGATCCCACTGCAGTAAGTCTTCCTGTGTTTATCAAACTTGTCCAACATGCTTGACACAGAGACTTGGCACGTTCTTTTTCAACTGGCAAGAATTCTCTTTCCTAAATGCTCTTATCTCTTGCTGACTTCTTTTTCTCTATGTTCAAATTAACAGCTCTACTTATGTCTGTTTATTTATCTCGAGTTACTTTTCTTCCTGGGTCTGGAAATACAAAACTCTTGCCCTTTTAGGAGAGAACTGATTAATACCTTATTGTCCCAATGGGTAACAATCAAAACTAGCATTAAACTTAGTCAAGGACTGGCTTTTGCAAAAGTATGTACATCTAAAAGGCAATGTGAGCTATCATTGATAAAATTACTAAACATCAGAACACCAGTTCAATTAAGATATTCTTTTCTGTTTTTATTTTGGGGGGTATGAGGTTGAGATGGGGCATGATTTTGCAGCCAAGTATGGCCTTGGACTCAGGTGGTGGTTTGGATGAGAATGTCTCATATAGTCTCATGTATTTGAAGATTTGGTTCCCAGTTGATGCCATGTTTTGGGATGTTCAGGAAGAGGAGCCTGGTTGAAGGGCTTTGGAAGCATACGGACAAGTAGGGTATAGGAATCAGAAGTACTACCCAGCACCATGTACATCCAGAATCAGTGGCATTTGCTATGCTTGCTTCCCTCTGCACTGCTGCATGGATCCAGGCCTGACTCTTTTGGCTTGGTTTGTTTGTTTTTAATTCCTGAGCTGTCCATTCTTCATTTTGAAGTCTCTGATCTTGTAACTGGCAGAAACTTCATAATAGTTAGCTATAATGCTGGTTGATAAGACGGCTTTTGCTAATTTAGAGTCTATCTGTATGACTATTTAAATCTCTGAAATGAGTCTGCTCAGTACTTTAGTTAATTGCCTTACAGAATATAATTGTGCCTCTGCAACTTCAAGAAATAGAAGCTATCTATCTTCCTCCAAATCTTTACACATACCATTTACTTGATCTCCAACTTTTCCAATATAAATAAAATATTTTTACTTTAATAAGAAAATTAACCTAGTCTGAGATGCATGAGATTCTCTCTCAAAAATGTATTATAAAATACTTATACTTTAACTTGTTAAGACTACGTGTAAAAATTTTAAAAAGAAATAAAATTAAGAAAGTCAAAAGCAACTACTTTTGAAGAGATATTTTAGAAATTCAAGCCCTTTGATTAGTAACCACCCTTAGTACCAGAGATACTTCAAAGCATTTTCTAAACATTGAATTCCCATCAGTGATGCTGCAAGCCTTAGCTCTCATCTTTCATGCTTACCATTGCGGTAACTTCAAAAGGATACAAAGAGAATGGAAATCTCTCAAAGTAACCTTGTACTCATGCTAGTAATTGCGTATTTAGTTATCATGCATCCACAATCAGGTTAATTGTATCATTACACTGTGTTTTAATAAATATAATAATTAACATTTAGTTATAAAAACTAGAATATTCAAGCCATTCAGAAATTAAATTCAGAGCCCAAGGGACATCTAGAAGAAAATGAAAAAGAATTAGAAAGTGTCAAACCTAGACATCTTCAAAGGAAGGAGATCATTTAAACTTGCCTTTTACTTACTGAAATGTATTCTGCATATTTTATTGTTTTCGTCATCATGCTTGCTATAATCCAGCAAGTGAGTGTTCAAAGAACATAAAATCCTACAAACAAATAAAGTGAACATGAGTGAATTTATAAAAGAGGCAACAATTAGGATCAAGATCTTGACATGCCAGTTTTGATTATGTGAGTCAGTGATGTTCCTAATGGTGTTTCAGCAATTCATGATTTATTGGAAAAAAAACCTTAATGTTTTAAGTTTTGTGATTCTCAAATGTTGAATTTTCATATTGTAAGGAACTTAAATCCTTATCTAAGTAATCCCAATATCATCAGTCGAAATTTTGAGGGGTTATCAAGACCGTAAAATTCTGTTGTAAACATAATAAGGCAGAGGAAGAAATGATAACAGTCAGTGCCTTTTGCAGTGTTTATGACCTACCTTGGTGACACATTTAAGAAGCTGTCTCAAAGCATATACTAGGAAGATCACAAAGTCCTCATGAGGTTCTGATTTAACAAGAAGTGGATGGAGTTCTTTCTATTGTCAATTAAGTATGTGTCTTTCCTAGCTGTTGGAGTATTACCCATACATACAACTGGGGGACTATGTAGATCAGTCTTCATTTGCGTTTATTGAGCACAGAGGACTCATTAGACGTCATGTTCAAGAACTGACCCTGGTGCACCCAGGTGAAGTCTGTGATTCCACAATCTTTTGTGCCACACAGAGAATGTATGATGTACTACATATTGATGGGATCGAAACAACCTGCCTAGATCACATTAATCTCCCAAAGAATGGGAGTCAAGGACAGAAAGCACACTTGTCAAAGCACAAATATTTAGAAGGGTTCAGAAAGTGAATAAAAAGGAAAATCAACAAGGGTTAAGATCCAGAAACCATCTATTGTTTATCAGGACCATTTTGTCACCAGTGTGTCTGCCAAGTAGGTCAATAAAGAAGATCACAGATGGACACTTTTTAATACAGACATAAAGTGAACAACTTGATCATCAAGATCTAATTAACAAGAGAAAGGGTATGTGAATGTGTGTTTGTCTGAGAATGTGTTTCTCTCTCTCTCTGTGTGTATAAGCATATGCTTCTGTGTGTAATTGTTTTGTGTGCATGCTTATCACGTGTGTGTGTTGAAAGGTTACTGCTAAAATGTGTAATGAGCAAAAATAGGAAGGATAAACAGGAAGTGATGAAGTACTATGAATTAATATTTCATGTCAGGAAAAATTAACTGGAATTACTTTGATTTGTAGATAAAGATAGGGACCAACTACTAATGGTAGGAAACAGTTAAGCCTATATCTCAAAAGATTTTGAAGAAATTATTCTGATATATATCTCTATGTATATATATATATATATATTACCTAGTTCATACTTAATTCTCTGTGTCCATTAAAAATATAACCTTGAAATTACTTTTAATTAATGTTGTTTATGAGCATCTTTAGTGGAGACACAATAAATGGGTTGAGTTTATTCAACAGCATCATAGATTGCTGTAATCATTAGGTTTGGGATCTTAAATTCTGTGCAACAAAAAAGGAAGAGGGAAGATGTTGGCTTATGTAAAAAAAAAAAAAAAAAAAAAAAAAAAAAAAACACCCGCAGGTTTCTGTGAATTCAAAATATTCATGATAGGGGGAAATCCGCGGCAAAAACTAGTCAAGCATTTTGGCAAAGATGTTACTTGACTCCTTTGTTATCAGCCTGAGCAAAACGTAAAGCTCTAAATTCTGGTTTCCAAAGGATGATGATCCTATCTTAAACTGCCTTCTGTGTATAAAGCATGTTCTGTGGGTCAAGACTGGGTTGAGGAGGATTAGCTCTATAGAGGCTGGCACGTAAGGACGAAATTCATCTATGCAGCTTAGACCAAACTTACAAAGAGAAAGCAAGCACCAATCATTGCTGCTTTGAGTGTCACATCGAGATCTGCAGGAACATGTATCCCAAAGTTGTCAGCGTTTGTGAACACGTCATTGACAAATCCTGACCAGTACTTGGAAATCTTCCCAATTGTAATCTTTTCGTCAACAGTTTGCACCTTTGAAAAGAAAAATAAGAGCTATGAGCTTTGCAGATAAAAGAGAGAGTAGTTGCCATTTCTCAGTCTGTTCCTTTCACTGTGAATTTGAGACACTGTATTGTTCGCCACCTCAAAAAGGAGCTCTACGGTGTTTGTGCGTGCATATCAGCACAGGTGTGAATACTCACCTCCAGCGTGTTCAAGGATTCCAGATGCCACAGTTTGTAGACCATTCTAGTTTGCTTTCCTTTTCGTTTTCTATGTAGATGGAGTAAATAATTAAGGCTACACAACCACAAGATGGCAGCAGGTACATCTCTTAGTTATGTAGCTAAGTATGAAGGTACCTGTGTTCAGATTTTAAACCCGAATTGGCCATCATAAAGTATATGGACAATACTACGTGTGTTTGTGTGTGTGTATACACACAGGGATATTAAAAATTTCTATTTGGATGCATTTCATATTTTCGAAGTATAATTCATAAACTTAAAAAATTATTAATTCTGTAATTAGTGAAGCTTTTAAACCCAATGCATTGTCAAACTACACTTTTAAGTTACACTCAGATATTTGTCAACACATTCCTTCTAACCAACTCTAAGTATTAGAAATCACTTTGAGCTAGTGTATAAACAAGAGATTGGGGTGAGTCTGACATTGAAATCTATCACGTCCACTGAGTGAGGAATCCACATCTGATTCATCAAATATTTATTTCTTTATCCTGTTTATTGTGCTGATACATTTATTTAATATGGACCTCCCCTTTCCCTATGGTGATAGAAAATCAAAATAGGAAAGGTTTCTTAGGACGTATCTATAGCATGGAAACTAAACCCTGGTATTTAAACTCACTTCAGTCATATTATTAAGAAGTCATGTAGCCAGGAGGTGGTGGCACATGCTTTAGTCCTAATACTTGGGAGGCTGAGGCATGTGAATCTCTATGAGTTCGAGGCTATCCTGGTCTACAGAGCTAGTTCCAGGACAGCCAGGGCTACACAGAGAAACCCTGTCTTGAAAAAAAACAACAAAACAAAACAAAACAACAAAAAACACATCACATGCTTTCACAGTTCTGGATCTAGGACAAGTCACTTAACAAAGTCTGTTTTCTTGGTGTGTATAGGTTCCTCCAGAAGTCGGGAAAACAGAACTATGTGGGATCCGTACAAATAATGAAAAGTAGATATTTTAAAACCAAATGGTCTTCTCACATATAATGTATGTGTACAATAATCTGTTAAGAGCATATGTTGCAGGTTAAATTTCCAATGGCTCATTTTAGTATTCAGTTCCAGAAATCTGAGAGTGCATTATTATACAGTCTTACAAATATAGCTTTATATAGTGACACTCTAGTGCAGTACGCTTCTGAAATGAGACCTGAATGGGGCTAAATTTCCATCAAGCAGGCCAACAGGAAAGGACATAGGTAATTTTGATGATCAAAATGCACATATGCCCTCTGTCCCCCACGTGCTCTTAACTCCCTATGAATCAACCCCATGAATCAACCCCATCAAACATAGGGTTACCAAGACTTTTAACGGTCACATATTGAACATATTGGATATCTAAAAATCACAATATATATATATATATATATATATATATATATATATATAATATATATATATTCTTGATGTTCAACGGTTTAGAGGCTGAAGTTAAAAATAACAAGACATTTATTGTTTTATGTAAGGAAGTACAATAGATATCTACTGTATTTGGCAAATAGGTCAAGAATTCTAATTTTATAATTCTCATTTTTATTTGTTAAAATTTCTTTGAATGACATGTGCTGTTATTTATGACAGATAAAATGGGCCAATCAGTATATTGTCATAGCATTGTTTTGGCTAAAAACCCCATGGACTTAGAATCTCTGGACTAATGTCTGTTAGTTGTTATTGGCATGGAAACATGATTTATTAGAGTATTACACTAATATGCAATTCTTAAAATGTATTTAAGTGATACATTATGATTTCGAGTTTTTTTTTTTGTTTGTTTTTCAAGACAAGGCTTCTCTGTGAAACAGTCCTGACTGTCCTGGAACTCACTCTGTAGACCAGGTTGTCCTCAAACTCACAGAGATCCACCTGCCTCAGCCTCCTAAGTTCCAGGATTAAAAGCATTTGCCACGACTGCCTATCATAATTTGGAATTTTTTAACTAATTTTTTCATGTACATTGGGTTTTGCCTGCATGTATGTCTGGGTGAAGATACCAGATTCCATGGAAGTAAAGTTACAGACAGTTGTGAACTGCCATGTAGGTGCTGGGAAATGAACCCCAGTTCTTTGGAAGAACAGTTAGTGCTCTTAACCACTGAACTATCTCTCCAGCCCTATGATTTGGATGTTTTATAAACTGAATTATGTTGCAAGAAATCAGGACCTACGCAAAACTTTCTTTGTCATTCATACCTCAAAGTCCACATCTCCAAAACAGCCACAGGTTGCACAAGGACCAACAATTTTCAAAATATCTTCATTGTCTGCATTTTGGATTGTGAATGTGGGTTGAAAGGGGTGCCACTTTTGTGCAACATAACCAACAATAGTACCAGGAGGGGCTTGAATTTCTAGCTGTAAGAGAAAATTGTAAAAAATGACATTTTCGTAAGGTTGCTGTACATCAATTACAGAAGAATGCCGACTTACTTCTACATAATATTTGTTATGAAATCACTTATGTATTATAATAATCATTATAAATATTATTTAGGATGAAAATTGGTGTTTTCTTTTGACATTTTGTATTGTGTCATGGAAATGATAAGAATTCATTCTGCTGATGTGTGTCACATTCCCCTCTAAATGCCTTTGTGTCCTTGGTACAGCTGTTGTCCCACCTCACCTGTGACAGTGAGTGAATCATAATTTTTTTTTTAGCATGGACAAACTCAATTACTACTTCTCAGTTGTATGCATACACAGATCCATTTTAACCTTTTTTTTCGGTTGTTGAGTGTTCACATTTTTTATTTCTGACATTATTTCAGCATTTGAGTGTAAGCCATGTAGAATCTTTTTGTAAGATACTTTGGAATGGGGGCAATAGGAAATGTTTCTTTAGAAGGAAACAAGATATACATACATATATATTCATATATGTGACACACATATAGTCATATATGGCATATGTCATACATACGACATACATATCATAGTCATGCATATATATAGTAAAAGCACACAAATTCACTCTTTCCCACAGTACTTTAACTTCCTATGAATCAAGCTTGCCAAAAATATATAAATATATGACATTTATGTATAAACATATATAAACATGTGTAATATATAGAAATATATATTTTATACTTAATGTCTTAGATCTCAAAACACACACACACACACACACATATATATATATATATAATCTGTTGAATAGAGGATGAAGTAATATTAGAGTCTACAGAGACATCATATCAAATTGAGTAGTTTTCTACATCAATAAAAATTATTGTTACAGTTTTATTAACAATGACAATGACATTATATTCTAAAACAAAACAATTAAATAACATCACTCTTTTGCATACTGTGGGTTTATTGAATGTGAAAATGGCAAATGTTATCCGAGGAGAATAACACCCATGGAAGATGGCATCTTAGTAGAGGTTCAGTGTCATGGCACCTCCTGGGCATTGCTACACTTAGAGACGATGACTGTATTTGTGTAGTGGGCACCTGAAGGTATTGCAATTACTTGCATAATACTCTAGTTCAGGAGGTCATGTCTCATTTTTACAGGAGGCATGAACTCCCTTTAGCATTTAATCTAATGCTAGCTAATGTAGTTTTGGGTTACAAATGGTAAAAGTACCTCACCAAATCTTCATGTTTTCCTTATCCTAAAAGGGAAGATATAAATTCAAACAACCCTTATGTTGACTGTCTCATAGCTCCAGATGAATGTCACTTAAAGGAATAATCTTAAAAAGGAAAGATGCTCAGAGGCGGTGACCAACCTCTTGTAGGTAGCAGGGACACCAGCAGCTGTTACACCTTAGGGGCCTGTTCACTGTAATCACCTCTCGACCCGAGTTGTCTGTGATCCTCAGGGTGCAGGCTCTCAGTGTGGAACACACATTACGATTAAAACAGATGCTTTCCTCCACTGCAAAGTAAATTCTTTGTCCCAAGCTGTTTTTGATCTCGTATTTGTTGGAAGTCTCAGTACCGAGTATCACTATCAGAAAACACATCATATGAAGGCATGCTTTGATTGGCATCACAACTTGTCAAAAGTCAAAAGTCAAGGATTATTAAGAGAACATAGAGTTGCTGCAGATATACTGAACTGATAGTCTCATCTTCATACACATCTCTTTCCATGTTTAGATGTCAGAGCAAGAGCCAAGAACAAAACTAATAACTAATTTTTATTCTAGAACTATGAACAAACATATTGTGACACCTTTCAACCAAATAACATTGTGTAAGGAAGAAATCATTGCTCAAATAATAACCCTATTGTTCTTCTGCAAGTTATTTGGACAATTTACAGTAGTATTTTTTTTTTTACTGTGTCTAAATTTTCTTTTAGCATCCACAGTAGTGGTACTGGCCAACTTCTTCAATTCTGCCATATTTTGGAGTAATATAGACTCATAAACAGAAAACACTCAAGTGATTTGAAATTGTTAATCATCCTTACACACATCTATCTACTGATAAGCTGTGTGCATATTTTATTGAGGTGATTGTGAAGGAATAAAATGATAGCATTTGTGTTGATTAAATTTTAATATGATCTCAACTGTGATATCCCCTTCTCAGAATGTTAAGAAATTTCAATGGGATATTAATTACTGCTTGTCACTTTAAGACTGATTTTATTAGAATATGAATGTCACCGTTATGAAGGACTTACTTTTATACTTTACATGTGCTTAAACTAATAAGTTTAATTTTGTTTAAAAAAATAGGTTAAGCAATCATTCAATCTTTCTACCCATTGTTTATAACATTTTCTTTTGAATAGTAAAGCCTTTTCAAATGTTTTAATAAATGCAAACTCTGATGTACTTACTCCCGAGAAGTTCCACCTGCTGATGAATGATTATCAGGTCCAGCTGCAAAGGATGATAGACAGGAAGTGAAACCATTCCGCCACAGTCCTTACTATGCAGCATGAAATCTGTCATTTTCATTAAAACATTCCAAACACTCACAATTTATAAGGCAAAGACTTAACCATAGGAATCAAAGCAAATTCTGAGAAGAAAATGTTTAACTTTTATTTTGGATCTATGAACAAACATATTTGTACTATGTTTCAATTAAAGAACAAATTTGATAAGGAATAATTTTTTACTCAAATAATCACTCTATAATTCCTCTATGAGGCTATGTTTCACTTACAGGATACATGGCCTGTCTTCACCAAATGTTATTGTCCAACTAATAATTTATAGAACTCTTAAAATTCCAAGTCAGATTTGCCAAGAACAAGAAAAACAGCAGTGGTTATGCTAACTTTCTGAAAATGAGAAACAGTATTTTAAGAACGTTTTTAAAATAACCTCTGAATAGTAATATTGAAGACATTTTTAAAATGTCTCCAAATTTCTTGTGAGGAAATGAAGCCACAGGATGGGCATCCATCAGTTGGCTCCTTCAGTTGGCACCATGCACCTCTCGGGGAGGAAATATCTGTTTAAGTTGGAAGATGACAGTTTATAAATAGCTCTTATTCTTATTTTCCTTCAGGCTAGGGAAGACAGAAAACTTTCAGACACCAACAGAACGTCAACTGAAGTGGAATAAGTGTTCTGTTACCAAATACCCGCCACAGCATTTGGGCTAGGTAATTAAAAAGAAATTAAGCAAAAAAAAAATTGCAGTTTACAGATTTATTTGTTATCGTGTGTGTTTGTGTGCATGATGTATGTTGTACATACCGCAGCACCCATACAGTAGTGAGAGGATACATTTGAAGGGCTTGTTTCTCTTCTTCTACCTTTGTGTGCACTCTGGGAATGCAAGTCATGTTGTCAGGCTTGGAGTAGATGACCTTTACCCCCTGGCCATTTTGTCAGCCCATATACGACCTTTGCAAAGGAAATATGTAATATGTGATTTAGAACAGCCTCGGGTTTTGTATTTTTAGTTGAATCAGCCCATAGACCTACTAAAGCCAAATCACAAGCCTTGACTGCACTGCTGATTACCACATTTCTAAAGCTTCATTTCTAACCCAATCAACATTATTGTCACGGTATGCTCTATTCATGCATGTAAACTCCACAGGATTCTTTAAGTCAAGGCATTTTTTTTCATCAACTTTGGTATTGATTGTAAATCTACAACTCCAGAAAACTTGAAGCTGTACTTGCTCTTTCATTGTCCTTGTATATCCTGAGGTGAGGGAAACATTTCCTCTGATCCTATTGATGATGAAAAAGTACAATGTGACCTCTTTTTAAAATTGCAAATATTTTTATAGATGTCATTTCATGACTTGAACTTTTCTAAAATCATATTAACAATCGTGGTAAAGCATCTTCAAGTGGAGTGAGATTTTGAGTGTATCACATCACTTTTGCTTTCTTGAAGAAAATGGAGATTTCCTTTGTGGGTAAAAAATGGGTAAAGACCTTCAGAAAGTATGTGGCTATTAGCTCTGAGAAGAATCAAATTAGGACTGGAACACTAGGATTAGGGATAAGATGTCTGAGTTTATCATCTTTGAATATTGGTGTAATGGATCCAACCCTAGTCTTAAATTTTAAAGCTATAGAGATCTACTACAGAATGCAAAGGGAAGGTGCATCTCTAATCCCCAGATGTTAACTGAATGATGCACATGAAGTATTTGTTGAACTATAGACTTTACTATATTGTCTTATTGGATCGTCAAGAATAAATAAAAATGTCAACTAGATGGACATCCCAAGAAATTAGGAACCAGCTCTAAGAACACAGCATGCAGCTAGCCACCAGTTCTACTCCACTGTCATGGCTAACCTAACTTTAGGGACAAAGGAAGCAATTCCACAGTGACACCTTAACCTCTGCTCCGTTTTCCTCTCTCTCATCTTTGTCACCCTGTGTAATAAGAAGTGAACCAATCTCTTTCTGTGGGCAAGCACCCTTCCTTTGACAATGTTGATTTGTTTATTATACTTTCCTTTGAATAGTCGTGAGCTACTAATAAACTGTCCTAAATGGACCCTTTCCATTGTCTCCTGCTGGATGGTGTACAAGGAATCAGTAGAAATTTTAAACAGATTAAAATATACTCCAGATACCAGGACAAGTAAAGTGGTTTTAAAATACTGAGTCAATGAAAACATGACAGTTTTTAATATTATAACTTAAAATTTAAAAATAAAGATTACAAGTATTGATATCATTGAATAAATTTAAAAATGAATAGAATGTTTGTGTGTGATTTTACCCTTTTGTTGATAACTGAACAAATTTTAATATTTATACTATGACACTAAAGGGGTAAATATTAGTCATTATTGTCAATGTGTAGATATATCTAGAAAGTATCTACAAGCTTCTCAGATCCTACTATAAATACATATATTTAGTTTCAAATTGTTTGACACAATGTTCTTGAGAGTTAATTCACAAATAATATAGTAAGAGTTTAAATAACCTTCTAGTTTTTAATGTAGAAAGATTTTTCTTATATTTTTCTGGTTTATTTCTTGAAATATGCAGTATTTCCAAATATTCGTAGTTTTAACTAATTTGTATGTCTTTCAGTTGAAAGTTATCACTCGCAAATTTGTTTAACAGACATTCTCATACAGACTTATATGAAGTACATAGAGCCTTCACTTCTGCGTGCTAGCATCTTAGATACAGACAGGCACTCTGCACTCTATCAAGGGAGATACATAAGCACCGATCCAACCACAAGCCCTTTGATCTACAAGGTTGTCCTGCCTGTAACATATGCTGGTGAAATGGTGGCACAAAGCCTGCGGAAATAACCAATCAATATCTGATTAGATTTAAGGCCTAGCCCATGAACTGAACCATACCAGACACTGCCTAGGTAACCAACAACCTGAGACTAGATATCCCAGGGATCTAAGGTAAAAACAAGTACTATTGTTCTTTTCTTAAATGTAGCAATAAAGTGGCTTATAAGGACAATCATCTATACTCCTAGATCAGTTCCTTACTCAGTCATCATCAGAGAAGCTTCCTCCTGCAACAGATGGGAACAAATACAGAAGAGACTCACAAACAGACAGTATGCAGAGTGAGAAATCTTGGAACACTCAACCCTGAATGATGTCTCCATCAAATCCCTCTCCTCCGTACTTAGGAAACCTTACTGAAGATGAGGTAGAAAGAGTTTAAGAGCAAGAGGGGATGGATGACACAAGAAACCAAGGCCCTCTTAATCAACATCCTCAAAACCATAGGAACTCACAGAGACTGAGGCAGCACACACAAGGGTCTGCGTGGGTCTGCACCAGATGGTGCCTCAGGGCTGAAAGGAGAACTAGACACATGCCCCATCCCTAACCCAGAAGCTATCTCCAACTGATAGTCACTTGCAAATGATAATCTGGTTTTTTCCAATGGAGTATCACTGGGGAAACAAACTATTCTTAAGGGTAGGCTGCATGCCCAACAATAGATGGCCAACAGAAAATGAACTCAATGGCATCTTTGGAGGTTCCTTGACTCACATTGTAATGTTAGGACTTTCCCTTTTAAAAAAGTTATAAATCTTTTTAGTTTTTATGTGTGTGTGTTTTGTTTTCCTTCTCCCCTTTTAAGACAACAAATCCTTTATATGCATATTATGGCTTATACTTTAGTGTTTTTCTGGGATTCCCAAGTGTGTAAATGAGTGGGTTTATGTTTCCTGTGCCTTCCCTAGAGCTCTTTCCCTTCTGTCTGTTTTGTCCAATTCCAATGTGGTAGTTTTTAAAATCTCATTATGTATTATATCATATTATATTATAATTATATTGGTGTCCCTTAGAAGCCTGTTTATGTTCTAAGGAAGACAGAAAAGGAGTGGATCTGGAAGAGGGAAAGTGGGGTAAGACTTAGAGAAGAAGAGGATGGGGAGAATGGAATCAGGATTTAGGATGTGAAGAAAAAGCATATTTTCAATAAAAGGAAAAACAGCACACACAAAGTCATTTAACAGGCATTCTCCTACAGACTTACACGAAATACTTTTGAAATTCCCACATATCTTTTTATATGTACAGAGCTTAAAGTGAACCCATATTCTTTTAGTACAAAATGAGTAAGTCATTTCCTTTAGGAAAAAAATGTTAACAATTTATGGCGTCTTTTGTTTTCTGAAAAATATTGGCAGACGTATGTTTTTAGAAAATGCACTTCATTTGAAACTGAAGCTCCTGAGTTCTTCTGTCTATTTATTGAAAGTTAGAACATGTATTCACGTCAGGCATCTGGCCACGGTATGTCATCTTTCAGGGGTGGAAGAAGAATATGCGATGACCATATGTGATCACCAAACCTCAGCCCTCTGGCGCTGGTATATCACTTTTATATTTGGCAAAAACCTTGCCTGACAACACTCCCAAACAGCTTGCAGCAGTTAATCAACTCTAGCCAGCTCTTACAGCTGATCCTTTCTGCAGATGGAAGATGGAAGATGGTAGGTTAGCTTTTCCAGCTCCTTTCCGTAGCTCCCTGAGCTCTCCAGTCTCTGTAGAACATTTGTCTGCCAGTGGGTTTCTGGGGAAGGCATCTGCAATTATAAACATTTTCCCAGGAACATATGCTGCATGCAGCTTAAACCCTATCAGGCATAGCAGAAATCTCTTGTTCCTTAAGGGAATTAACACAGAGATTTGATTTTGATAAAAGAGATAGACTTTATGTTTGAAGGAATGCCAAACAAGGGAGCACGGTAGCACATGTGCTGACATCTCAATATTAGTGTTAGAGTCATTCTAATCTTGTGTAGGGTGATGTGTTAAAGCAACAATAATACATTCACATATGAACAATTTCTATTTATGTGCCGCATGACAAAGTTTTATAAGACTTGAAGTGCCCTAGCTCGAACAGCAACAGTACCTAATAGTGTGATATAATCGTTCAAGCAGGTTGACCTGGAGACTTGGGAACATCAGAAGAGAGTAATGTGGCCTTGGTAAATTGTTTTCCCTTGGATTTTCACATAGCTTTTGAGAGCAGCTGAAAAGTCTCAACTCCTTCCCGAAGTTTCCACGACTGCCTTCTCCCTTAAAGATGTGTGTTTTCCTGGCTTTCGTGCCTTGCTTTGTACTTTTTAATCAATGTTTTTGTTTGATCATTAACTAATAAAATGTTTGAGTGACAGGAGGTAGGTTTTATGTTTCTTATGTGCCTTGAATATCTAAGTGCTCAATACATGTCTAATTAATAGCCGTAGGTGGCCTAGTCTAATAATTCCTTGAGAATGCCTCCACACCTTGAACAATGAACAGAAAATAGACAAACATGCTAAAGGGCAAAGTCAAGGCTATTTAGTCTCATCACTCTGTCAATAAATAAGAATAGGTGACAATAGTGTCGAATAAAATCTTATCTACAAAACAAATATAAAGACAGTACTTTATAACTTTATGATTTATAATGCATTCTGCATTCCATTAAATTATTGGTTGAAAAACAAGACACCGGGCTTGAATTGCCTTTAAAAAGAACACAAGAGTAGAAATGGAAAGGCATGCAAACCTGGCTTAAATATTCTAGACCAGGGGGGAGACTGGCTGTTGGCAGGAAACGACTTGGCTGACTGTCGTCAGGCTGCTGCCTTGCTTGTTTCCTGGGTTGGGAAGAAGCTGCCCAACAGTGTTGATCTGGGTCTGTAGATCCTGGAAGAAAACCAGGCAGTCTTCCAGGCTTTTGACTCTGGGAATCTGCAAGAGATGAATATCTATATGTGTGCTAAAATTTAGGTTGCTTTTGCTTCTACTTAATCTTCCGCCCTCCTTCCCTCCCTCCCTTCCTTCCTCCCGCCCTTTCTTTTCTCATTTTGATTTAGATTGAAGTTGCTCCTTGATTGATACCTCTCTCATGTTAATGCACTTTCTTTTGTCTTCACTACTCCATACCACCACCCCTTGACTTCTCAGCCAGAGAAAAAGGAGCATAGAAAAATGTTGGTAGTTGTGAGAATAAGTTAAATGACTTAAATAACTGGCCTGGAGATACATCACATGTATAAATAGGTTTGTGTATAAGTGCAAGGTAACACCTGTTAGCCTGTACTCATAGCCTAGACTTGAATTTTACCTCGAAGTTTTAATTACCATTTATTTATTTATTTAGAGACAAGGTTTCTTTGTAGCTTTGGAGCCGATTCTGAAACTTGCTCTATAGACCAGGTTGGCTGTGAACTCAAAGAGATCCATCTGTTTCTGCCTCCCAAGTGCTGGGATTAAAGTCAGAATTTCCTTTCTTTGAATATTATGGAGCTGCCTTGTACTTTATGGAGTTACTCTGCCCAATTTAATAGTCATAATATTGTAGCCCAGTTTAATTGAATGACTCGAATATTTCAGCCTTCATCAGAACCACCTGGAGTGGGGACCTATCAAAATAGGTGTTGGGCCTCTCTCCAGCTATTGATTCAGAGATTGGGGTGGAAGGTTTGCAAAGTTGCTTTTTGATAAGATCTTACGTAAAACTAATAGTCCTAATAGTATGAGGATATCCTCTGAAAACTCACTGTTAAACTGAGTAAGCTTAAAAAAACTCATAATAATTTATCTGTGAGTGTCTTAGTATATTTATATAGAATTATATAAAGGTCACTTTATTAGTTCACTGGTATCAATATTACTGCTGAGTAAATTTGCTTCTATTTCAGTCATCTCACATGGGACTCTGTGAGTTTCTTATTTATTGTGTATTAGTCTATGTGATGTTATGCATCAGCCCCAGGCAGGAGAATCTTTATTTAAAATTCTAAACATTAGCTTTCTACTAGTTCCCCTATTTCATTCTCATAAATATCATTGTGTTATTTCCCTCATTAGATGCTAATTTTTTCCCATAGACTACTGGTGTTCATGATTCTCATCCTCATAGAGTGTGAAGGTTCTTTTTTTTTTTTAGAAAAATATGTGAATAAATTTGAGTTGTTTCTCAATGTTGTGTTGCATTATCTTAGCTGTTGATTTACAAGAAAGTGAATGGCCAAGTTTTCTTTTTCAAACTGTAGTAGGGTTCATCATGAAAGCAAGCACAGTCAAACATCACATTGCTTAACAGCATTAACATTTTCTGAGGATATATCAATCATTAGGTAATTTCATTGATGTGTGAAGGTCATGGAGTAGGTTTAAAAGTTAAAAGTCTCTAACATTATTGGGTAGAAACATTTTATGTACCATGATCTTTGTGGTCCATCATGGACAGACTGAAGTTTTGTTAAGTAACATGCACATGAATGAGACGAAATAATTGGTTCTGGATTGCTACAAAGAATAAATTTATAGCAGCTGCTTAACATTGGAGTGATTGCTGTCACTGAGCATATAGTAAAACTGGGGTGCTATATAAATACTTAATATAAATTATAATGGTCTTATTTCTACACGGATACCCAGTTTTATAAAAAGTTTCTTGTTGTCTGAGGTATTTTTCTGTATCTTGTAATCACACAGTTTAAAAAATGCAGTAGGATTCTTTCTAAGATAATAAGCCTATCTTATCATCAAGAAAACCCAAACATAGTCTGAACAGGGATGAAGGGACACAGACAAATGGCCCTTTGGGCAGAGGAATAAATTGATTCTAGTAATGACAAGCTTGTTAAGCTTGTGCATACAGGAAGTGTTAATGAGGGGCAATTGCCAGATGACTCATTTATTTATTTACCCCTAAGGTTGTTGGAACCGGCTGGGTTTATATTAATATTGATGTTGGTTGCTTAGTTTGCATTTGTCCGTGGCATCTGACATCCATACAGGACTTGCCTGAGAATTAAACAAATAAAGAAACTTGTCCTTTGGCCCCTCTCTAAGAGAACTTGTAGGTGATGAGGCTGCGGTTGCTTTCCCACAAGGGCTGCATGTCCCTGGCCTGGGCTCCCAAGTGTCTGACCCTACAGCAGGTACACAGGATGCCTTTCTTTGTCTTTGTTTTTACCACTTGAAGAAGTTCCAGATGATACACATTTCTTTGGATCTATGGCATCGAGCTCAGGCTTCCTTGGATTTGTCTATGAAATGCCCTGTTAACCCCAAGTCTCTCAGAAGATGCTACCAGACAATACAGTTCCATAGGCCAAAGACCACTATGGAGTTATGGTCATATCTTTAAACATTTTTGAAAAACATGGCCTCAAACATTTTGGGGGGCTAAAAATTAGTAAGGCTGTTGCTCAACCAAGATTTTCTATTTAAACAATATCTTCCTGTCTCTTTAATTTTATAATAAATGTTCTGTCCAAACCGTGGGCTAAATGTTCTCAATTGGCCAGAGGGATGTTTGTTTTTGTCTTAAACTTTGTCTCTAGGTTTAGTGCAGCTTTAATTCACGAATAAAGTCTTTTTCATTACTGAACATCACGTCTTTTTGGCAGATTCATCATAATCTTGCTTTCCGGTCACATTTTCTTCAAAGACCCGGACCACCAGATGAATAGAAATCTCCTTTGAATTGGTAGAATTGGTATCGGGCTTTGAATTTCTATCTACTCTTTTAAAAATGTATAACTGAACCATAAATAATTTACACACTGTGCAACTCTTTCCTTCCAGGCTGCTCTGTCGCTCCTCTTAATTTATAAAACGAGAGGTGTTTGGCCTGTGATAGTTTCAGTCTTCAAGGAATGTTTGTCACGGTTTGTGTTTGCTTGTCGTCAGCGTAGAGATTGTTCTGCACACATGCGGTAAAAGTCACTATTTTTCTCTTTCTGGTGAAGTTTCTCATCTGTTTATAAGCTTTCCCGGGGATTCCCAGACCCACATAAAATACGAATGAAAAATATAAAGACTACTTAATTTGTCTAATAGATGTCAGCGATGTGTTCACGAAGCAAACAAGAATGGACTCACACTATTTGGATTGAGTCATCTATTTAAATAATTTAGGGGAGGTTACACTTGTGACTAGTTTTAAATGCTCCCCTAAGTTTCACAAATCAAACTTACTCATTCTGAAACTTTTCCTTATAGAGCTTAATAGTGCATTGTTTTGATAACTGAATAAAAATGGATTATAATTTTTTTAGAAATATCTTACTGTGATTGTGTATTATTAGCCCTGATAAAACCTTATCTCTCATCTTTTGAAATCTGCCTCAATTAAAACACATATTTCAATAGTTTTAATGTTCTAAGTGAAATTGCACCCTTTTCTCCTAATGTCCCTAATAGATCTTCTTGCTTAAATTGGAAATTTTGATCATTTTGATTGATTTTTTATGCTGAATTTACTACCAAAGTATTTTTAAAATATTTTAAGTTTATAAAGCACAAATGTTTAGTTCTGCTGCATCAAGTTGAGGCTTCACTGATATTCTGTTCTTCACTGGGCTGAGTGCCATGTGACTTTGAACAACAAATGAGCAATTATGAATGTTTGGATAACATTTTTTAGATGTCTATGTGGAATCCTTCCTTCAGATTCATTTAGACTTAGAATTTCATCCCATTTCTGTGTTTAAATTAAACCTCCTTACTCTCAAAGTTGCTTTACAGCTTTTCTTATTAAATTGCTAGGTTTGCATTTACAGCAACAAAAACACATTTTACAGCCAGACTCTTTACATTTTTTTTTTTTTTTTTTTTTGGCTAAAAGTGTGGGGTGTGTGTTTTTAGTTAGGACAAAGTAAACCTTCAAGTAAAATAATTCAAATTCCAGTGTTCAAGAGCAATAAATGACAGCTTTTTAAAGTACCAACCAGACCGGTTATAATGCTCCAATATCCATGCACTTGTCGTTATAACATATACGAGGCCAAATTTAGACGCTGGCTAGGTTTACTCTTACCTTTAGAGGCCATGGCAGTCTGAGTCCCCTTCAAAGGCAGGCAGGTGGAAAGTCTTTTCCTGTTTCAACACGGAGAGAACAGAAGGAATAAAGCTCCCGACCCTTGCTGTCTGCTTCATGTCAGCTTACAGATAAGAGGCGCCTGGTTGGTTCTAGAGTGTTTGATTTTATCTGTTCAGACAACAGGAGGAGATGAAGCCATCACCCTAGGTAAAAGACCTTCTTGGAAGAAGCCATATAGCTTGGTAGCTGAAAGAGTTACTTAGAAATAGCCAAGAGAAAGGAAAGCACAGCATTTATATCGTTGTGTTCTGGAGTTGGATGTGGTCTGTTACATTCTCAGAGTCAGAGGCTGTGTAAGTCATCCTATACCCTGGAAGGCTGTCATAGATGGAAATACAATTCCTGATCTGTTCAAACGTTAGAGTCACATTTTCCCTCATTTTGTCATGTGATTTTTGTCTGACCCATACACCACAAAACAAACAAGAAACCAGAGAAGGATAGATCCCCAAGCTCTTACACATGAAAATAATTCTTTATTTTCAGTTGTGAATGAAACGTGATCAATCACGGGGACTGGGAAACACAAAAGTTTAGGACCTTGATGGAGCTAAGCAAAGCCTACAGACACTTGACTGAAAATGAAATACCAACCTTCAAGAGTCAGCTTGTGGTTGTGAGTGCAGCTTCCCAGGAGGACGTGGGACTTTGTGCACCTCGTCAGCCTCAGTGCTCTAGCACTGGACACATTAAGGTACTGTCTGCTCTAAGTCATACAGTTGCCTCAGAAGGTACAGGGACCAAAAAAAAAAAAAAAAAAAAAATGAAGTTTAATCGGGTACATATTACAAGCATAGATTTTCTTACTTGATAGGCAACTTTTGTTGTTGTCTTATTTTGCTTGCTAAGTCTGAGCCTGAATCTAATTATCTTATTTAAGCTGTTATTCCACAGAAAATCTATATTTTTTTTTTAAAAAATCAAACTTCATAAATTTTATTGGCATTTCCAAAAAAATATTAATATAAAGAAATTAATTTTTACACTATCTGACCAAGTGTTTTAAATTGTGATCATAACTGGACAGTCATTTAGAATATTCTAAAGAGTATCAACTTTGAAATGAAAAGAAAACCAGGATTAAACATTTGACCTGTAGAGGGCACACCATCCCTGCAATTGCATATGGTCATGTGACCAACAGCTGAGCTCTTTATCCCATTGGCAACCTGACATTTGTACCTGCTCAATCGTGGTATGGCTCTTGCAGTGTGCCACTGCCTGTTTCTTCTCTTGTGCATTCTCTCTGTGTGGCCAGTCACCGGTCCAATACTGTTTGCTTCTTTTCAGATTCCTCTCCCCTGCCTCAGGACTCCCTTCAATGCTCTTTTTGGATTCATATTCTTCCTTAAGGAAATGCACTGGCCCCTCTTTTATGAAATTCAGTTGTTTCAAATATGCCAGTGGTTCTAAGTATCCTAATAATCAACTACTGTTACTTTGGGCTTTGCAGCTAGTCTCCTTCTGGAGGAATTGCTGTCCAATTTCACCTTCAATGCTATCAGTCCTAAGAGTGCTGTGTTCATAGTAGAACCAAGGTCCATATGATAGTTCAAGATGGCCACACCCTCCACCAGGGGCAGTGGCTTCTCTTGCTATGGTGATACGTTTTCTCATTCCCAATTTTGATTCCTGTAAGCAGAGCTATTACATGATGAGCATGTCTAACAAAAACAGCAATGGCAACAAAAAAGAAAAAAACAATAACAATGAAGAAATACTGCCAGATAGGAAAATCAAATAATGAGCTGGCAGGAAAACAAACAACAACAATGAAGCAAAATTATGTCTCCTCAAGTGGATATCTGATGGCAGTCCTCTATTTACCATGATCACGTTTCATTCACAACTAAAAATAAAGAATTATTTACGTGCATAAGAGCTTGGGGATCCATCCTCTTTTGATTTCTTGATTGTTTTGTGGGGTATGGGTCAGACAAAAATCACATGACAAAATGAGGGAAAATGTGGTTTCAGCGTTTGAACATATCAGGAATTGTATTTCCATCTATGACAGCCTTCCAGGGTATAGGATGACTTACACAGCCTCTGACTCTGAGAACATAACAGACCACATCCAACTCCAGAACACATCACACACCTAGGTGACTGCACAATGATACAAATGCTGTGCTTTCCTTTCTCTGCTATTCTAATTGCATATGAATATGATTAAAATAAGACTTGTTATGGGAAAGGACATACCTAAGTGCAGTGGGCACATAATTTTCTCTCAGTTAAAATGAGGACCCATGCAAATTCTATTACCTAGCAACCAGCTATTCTTCCTCCCAAACCCCATAAAAGGAAGTTCTAAACAGTAATTGGGCCCTTACATACCTTCACTTATGTGGCCCGTTGTCAATCTTTAGATTTATTCATTTTATTGACTTGATTATTGTGTGTGTGTGTGTGTGTGCGTGGTATGGTAACTAGGTCAAAGGACAACTTGTGGGAGTTGGTGACAAGCACCTTTATCTCTCAAGAGATGAAACCATCTGCATCTCCTCAGCAGTCCCTGAGTCATGCATTTCTATTCATAAACCTAATCTTTAATTTTTTTCCGTGTCCGCAATTACATTATGGAACCAAACAGAATATAAATAAATAAATATAAATAAATAAATAAATAAATAAATAAAGGAAAAACAGATACGGGGAAATATCATTGTTGGTATTTTTCCAGAGTTGTAAGATACAGAGCTATCCATGAAATTTGAAAAAAATTAGAAAAAAAACCAACATTTTTATGTGAACTGATGTTTCTTATCGTTAACACTACTATTCATTTACACAGTTGTGCATAAACATCACACCTGAGTGCATTTATTTACTGTTTACTCAAACCTGCTCTTTTGACACAGCATTTAGTTAATGTATGCATTTAGAAACACTCATTAACTTGTCACTGTGTTCATGGCATCATGAAGAATACTGACATCTAAGGACACGGCCCCACCCCGGGGAATGTGGACCTTAGTGCACTATCACAACAGAATTCAATAATCTACTTATTTCTGACAATTAAAAGTCAGTTTCTACCTTCTGAAAATAAAATGACACTACTCCTTCCCTTTCTGAAAAACCATTTAATTAGTATCAATGATGTGTCTTCAAATGAGAAGGACAATTAATTGTTTCACACACACACATGTTAAATTCCAACCCCCCCCCCATTTTCTGTTACTTTCCAACAGGAGAGTAATAGCTATTGCAATATTCATTTGTGAGTAATGAGAATAGTAAATTGCATCACCCTTCTTTGCTGACAGTAAGAAATGTTTCAATCTGCTTTCTTTCTGATGGAAAAACAAACGATAACAATTTAAAGGACCAGAGAGAAAAGAACCCTAGGCGTTCAGCAGAATAGATCTGATGTGGTTCCTCACCACATTTACCTAGAGTTCACATTGACTTGGATGGAGTAATAAAAGATTGAATTGGAAGACCTGTGCTCAGTGTCTTCGTTTGTCCATGTAGATAAATTGTCTCCCGCCAGTAGATTGCAAATCCCACAGAAGAAGCAGACATTTACCTGGCTTATTGCTCTTTACATTGTCTCAGCCTTGTACATTTACATCAGCAAGACTCAGGTACGATGGTGTTTGAACATAAATCTGTCTGCATGGCCTTGTTCTAATACTCCCTGCTATGCACAATGAAAATTTTATCATCTCTGATGCTATTCTGAGTGTCTAAGAGGAAAGAGAGCATTTTGAGACCTTCTGGTTTATATAAATTTGAGAGAGAGAGAGAGAGAGAGAGAGAGGAGAAAATATGACCAGTCTCCAGAGACTTCAAACTACCGAAATTAGAACGCCTTGTCGTTTCAAAGTCTTTCATTTGGTCATTATTTGAGTTATATTTACCTTGTGGCTACTTTTTCCTCTCAACATCTGTCTCCATCTTCACAAATATCACCAAAACACTGCAACGAGCCCTTCAGTTACTGCAGCCTCTGTATCTCTGTATAGAACTGATTTCACTGGCTGAAGCTGTACCACACAGAGCCAGGGCAGCTGCAGTTCAGAGGCAGCCAGTTAGACCAGTTGTTTTGTGCAGCACACTTTCTTCCCTTTTCTAGCATTAAAAATAGCTTCCCTGAGTTTCAGTCCCCCAGGAGCAAAGTTCTCATGAAAATAGGGTAATTATTGTAATAAATATACATTAAATATATAGGCAAAACATACCAGAGTCAATTTATGTTTAACAGTGCATGTTTATTATTTACTTCTTGTGGTATTTATGGGCTAAATCCTTGAGAAAACTGCACACTTGAAAGGATGCTTTGCTAAACAATAGCTAAGAGTGAGATGAAATGCTATAAACCACAGTGCTGGGTAGCTTTTGTAAACTTGACATGGACTTAGACATATCTGTGAAGAGGAAACTTCAGGTGAGGTATTTTTCTTCTTCAAATTGTCAGAGGAGCAGGTCTGTGGGGAATATACTTGCCGGCTAATGGATGTAAAAGGGTCCAGCCAGTGATGGGGGTGCCATCTGGCAAAGCAAGCCAGTAAGTGGCACTCCTCTCTACTTCCGTTCCTACTTCTAGGTTCTTTTTTTTTTAATTTTTTTTTTATTGCGAAAAGAAGAAAAAAAACATAAACAAAAAACAAGTTTCCACCTCCTCCCAGCCTCCCATTTCCCTTCCCCTCCTCCCACCCTTCTCCCCCTCCTCCCACCCTTCTCCCCCTCCCCCCACTCCTCTCCCCCCCCCCTCCCTCTCCAGTCCACAGAGCAGTCCGGGTTCCCTGCCCTGTGGTAAGTCCTAGGTCCTCCCCCCTCCGTCCATATCTAGGAAGGTGAACATCCAAACTGGCTAGGCTCCCACAAAGCCAGCACATTAAGTAGGATCAAAACCCCCTGCCATTGTCCTTGGTGTCTCATCAGCCCTCATTTTTCGCCATGTTCAGAGAGTCCGGTTTTATCCCATGCTTTTTCGGTCACAGTCCAGCTGGCCTTGGTGAGCTCCCCGTAGATCAGCTCCACTGTCTCAGTGGGTGGATGCACGCCTCGTGGTCCCGAATTCTTTGCTCATGTTCTCCCTCCTTCTGCTCCTCCTTGGGACCTTGGGAGCTCAGTCCAGTGCTCCTGTGTGGGTCTCTGTCTCTTTCTCTATCCATCACCAGATGAAGATTCTATGATGATATGCAAGATATTCGTCAGTATTGCTCTAGGATAGGGTCATTTTAGGTTCCCAATCCTCAGCTGCCCAAGGAACTAACTGGGAACCTCATCTTGGGCACTAGGGAGCCCCTCCAGGACCATATGATCATTTCATTAGATGCTGAAAAAGCATTTGACAAAATTCAACATCCATTTATGTTAAAAGTCTTGGAGAGATTAGGGATACAAGGGTCATACCTAAATATAATAAAAGCTATATACAGCAAGCCGACAGCTAACATCAAATTAAACGGAGAGAAACTCAAAGCCATCCCACTTAACTCAGGAACACGGCAAGGCTGTCCACTCTCGCCATACCTCTTCAATATAGTGCTTGAAGTTCTAGCAATAGCAATAAGACAACATAATGAGATCAAGGGGATTCGAATTGGAAAGGAAGAAGTTAAACTTTCGTTATTTGCAGATGATATGATAGTGTACATAAGCGACCCCCAAAACTCCACCAAAGAACTTATACAGCTGATAAACAGCTTTAGTAATGTGGCAGGATACAAGATCAACTCCAAAAAATCAGTCGCCCTCTTATACACAAAGGATATGGAAGCAGAGAGGGAAATCAGAGAAGCTTCACCATTCACGATAGCCACAAACAGCATAAAATATCTTGGGGTAAATCTAACCAAGGAAGTGAAAGATCTATTTGACAAGAACTTTAAGGCATTGAAGAAAGAAATTGAAGAGGATACCAAAAAATGGATGGACCTCCCTTGCTCTTGGATTGGAAGGACCTACTTCTAGGTTCTTGCCTTGAGTTTTTGTGTTGGTTTTCCTAGGTGATGTAACCAGCTGGCCAAATAAACTATTTACTTGCCAAGTTGCTTTTGGTAGTGATGTTTGCCACAGCAAGAGAAAGCAAACTGGGACAGCCCTGTGGAACCATGCTTCACAAAATAGAAACAAAGGTTTTGTGGGAAAACAAGACCTATATTTGTTACGATGTTAAAAAAGCAAAACAAAAACAAAACACTGTTTCTCAGGAGTCCTCCAATACAACATTTCAAATATTTTTGTCTCCTCTCCAGCGTTGATCTTCAGGTAGTAGAACTGTTTGGGAAGAAATAGGAAGTGTGGTCTTGTTGGAACTGTGTTACTGGAGCTAAGATTTCATTTACAAACTTTTCTGTATGACTGGTTCACACCTTTTCTCTCAACAAACACCCATGCTTCTTGTCTTATCCTTATTCCCAGTTGATGACTTTGTATCTTAACTGGAAAAATTTTCAGTACCATTTTTACCTGACACAGAAGACATGTGTATGATCTGTCTTCTTCCCTCCCTAGTTCACACTTCTGGATCCCTCCTTCCTGTGTGGGTAAGTTATCTCATTGACTCATCCACACTCAAGAACCTTTGACCAGGACAATTTTCTACTTTTCTCCGAATTTCAGTGCTAACATTGTCTTGTCTGTCAGTGCACACACTGGAATTACTTCTATTGCAAACATTTATTTTTCTTGATCTGTTCCATTTTCAGTCATGAGTTTTTATGTGATATTTGGTGTAGTAAATCTCTTCAAAAGAGATTTCTGCACTTGCAGCCTCTGGCTTTCTTTCTAACATGTTCTCTGAAGTACCCCTTCAAACCTTTATCTATACGATGCTACAAACGTGATTTTTATAAGGCTAATGATAACATTCCTACTATTAGTCAGTGACTGAGAACGATTCTTCTCTCCTCCTGCTGGCAACACTTATTGTGTCACACACTTTCCTCAATAGTCTTTTAGGATATCACATTCGTAGATTTTTGCTGACAAGAAAAATCTTTCTATTTTGGATCAATTCAGATTTTAAACCTTAGTCACTTTCTCTATTCATTCACTTCTGTGATGATTTTCTTATGTTTGATTTCTTTAAATATATTATGTATGTTTACTGCTCCAAAATATTTCAAGAGTAAGCTTTTCTTTAAAATTCCCAACTTGTATACTGCTTCTTCAGGTTCAAAAACAACTTCTTAATTTTTTAGTCCATTCATGGCAACCTATCCCTGTTAGGTTAAATCATAAATTCCTTCTTAGCTATATATCTCTTATATGAATCATTTGTTTTTCTTCCAACCAATACCCCACTCTTACCATTCTCTTTCCTTGACAACATGAAAACCTCATGCTTGGATTATTATATTAGTCTCATAAGTATGTTCCTTTATCTTTATTCCTGCTTCTAGTGTTGATTTTCAAGGCAAAAAGCAAACTTCCTCACTGAAAAGCAGTTTTGATTGTACTATTCAACCTGAAGTGAGTCAGAAAGATGTTATACTACCTAGTAATTTAATCACTTTTTTTTTAGATAGGGTTTCTGTGTGTGGCCTGACTGTCCTAAACCTTGTTCTTAATCACATGTTCTAATTCCATTTCACTTGCTCTGGCGTCTTTGTTACGGCTCACACCTCCTTGGAATTCTCCCACTATGGACATCTATTCTAAGTGGTTCCTCTGTCTAGAAGGCTAGAAGGCTGTTAAGATATTTGTGGGTGAACTACCTCATCTCAATGATGACTTTATTAATTACCATCATCTAAACTTGGTCTATCCTAAGCACACTGTTTAATATTCAGACACAATCTTACATTAGGGTTTACTTACTTCATACATGCCAGTTCTGAAAACTCATGCCTTTAAATTATAGGTCACACTGGCTGGGTATAATACACACAGATTGCATTTTATTTCCTTTATATCACTGTAGCATCTGTTCTTCTTCATTTTGGATATTTATGTGATACCACCACACAGTAGATATGATGACTATTCTTGGTTGTCAACTTGACTACATCTGGAATTAACTGGGTATAAATGTGAAGGATTTTTTTCTTAATTAAATCTTTGATGTGGTAAGATCCACTTTTAATCCAGATACTTTGAGGTGTAAAGATTTATCTTTAATCTGGACCACACCTTTTACTGGTAACCTATATAAAAGACATGGAAGAAGGAAGCTTGCTTTCTTTGACTGTTTGATCTTGCCTTGCTAGCAAATCCATTCCTTTACCGGCATTAGAGCCTACTTCTTCAGTATTCTGACTTATAATGAAAACCAGCTGAGACATCAAGCCTTGTGAACTGAACAACTACTATATTATTCGATCTTCTGTTGGTAGACAGGCATTGTTGGGCCAGCTGTATCACAGCCCATAACCCATTCAAATAAATTCCCTTGATATATACACACACACATTTTGTATGTTCTGTTCCTCTAGAGAATCCTAAATAATATAGCAGGCATTCTCCCCTTATCAATATCTCGACTGCCTTGCCTATCTGACTGGAAAAGTGTTTCATTATTACCTGCTTGTTCATAGCATTTTTAAAGCATTTTTGATTCATATAGCCCTTTATTCTTTTGAGATAAATCTTCTCATGACTTTGTTTTCTATTGTATGTGTTTATTTGAGGAACGTCTATTAACATTTGCAGATTTATGGCCATTAGTACTTCTAATTCTACTCTCAGGATTTTGGGTTTTCCACTTTATTGTTTCTTCAACTGTTTTATCTTGTAAGTGGAAGCAGTTATTTCTGGCTAAATATTTCTTTCTTTTAAACATCCTTCTTTCTGGAAAAAATATAATGAAAAGTTTTGGGCTCATTCAATTTTATTCACCTCCTCTGAAACTGATGTACTTAAGAGGACCTAGATATCTAGAGTTAATGACTTGAATTTTTCTATCTTGGCAACATACTTTTTCAAGTGCCTGTTTTACATAGAAGGAAATATTTTAAAATAATAGCATTAAAGGTATGGAAAGAGACTTTGAAAAATCA